GTTAAGAACAACTGAGCCCAGAGTGGAATTTTCCTCCCTTTCCCATTTTCCTTCAACTTGACACAAAGGAGAAAGTCTCTGTTGAATGCTGGTGTGTTTTTAACACCTCTCTTAACACTTACTTCCCTTTTTAACAGAGAGCCGGCCTCTGAGCCTTCAGCAGGCAGCCGGATCTGGCGGGAATTTAATGACATTGTTTTGTTTTCATTGTACTTATTTTTATGGTTACCTTCTATTTATGGCACGAGATACTGGTTTTCCATTTATGGAGGGATTTAAAGTTCCCTTTTGAAATGAATATATTTATGTTTTTAAAAGAAAGTTCATTTGAAGAAAAAAATATTATGTAACTGGGAGCACAGGTGGTACCCAGACATGGAAAAAGTTGTAAAGGAGGCCATGATGGGCTGAAAAGGAGGAAATGCCTCTCAGGTCAAAGGCCTCTCCCAGCCCCTGTTGAACAGAAAGGACTACTGAGGCTTAGTGAGGGGAAGGGACTTTCTCAAGGTCACGTGGATGACATGGACTGAGAACTGGACCTCCTGATCCCCCTGTGGTGGGGACATTCTGTGCCAGTGGGGTAGAGCAGAGGTCAGGGATCGTGTGCACTCCCATGGGCCTGGCCACTGCCCTGGCGGGGGTCAGGGTCTTTCCAGAGCTGGCCAAGTCACAGACTGAGTGCAAAGAAGGCCCGGTCCTGAAGAAGAGGAGAGAAGACATGCTGGTGTTCATCAAGCAGTCCATGTGCTAGACCCCGTGTTGAGACTTTGCCTCAAGGGAACTCAGAAATTCAGGGGGAAGACACAGCCTACAAAAATAACTCAAGTTTCTGGTGGCAGCATGGCGAGTGCTCCAACAGAGGCATAGCTCTCATATCTACAGCTAATGACATCTGAGGCTTTTGCCTGCTGAGAGGCCATTTCCCATTTTCCCATTTTCTTTTGGAAATTTACTCCCTTCCCCATTCTCGGTGCTTGTAGCTCAGGCAAACCCACGCTGACTTCAGAGATGGGCACAGGACCAGGCCTGGCTAATCAGAACACTTTGTCCCTCTCGCCATAGGGATTGGCACAAGGTTGGTCATGTCATCCAAGGCGGGCCCGTAGGAGCCTTCCCTTGAACTTTTGCTGCAATTACTAGTAAAAGGGCCCACTCCAAAGGGGTTTCTAAAAGGATGAGTCATGATCCAGAGCTGCTGGCAGTCATCTTTGCCATCAAAAGAGGAGAGGCTCTCTGAGAATGAAGCTGACATCCAGGAAAGCAGGGATGAGAGATGGAGAGACATTTCTAATGATATCATAACGTCACCTGGATTCAGCCATGAAATCAGTGCCCTGAACTCAGTTCTGGAAACCATAACTTACCTTCCCACTCCTCTCACCCTTCATTAGCTACTTTGAATTGGATTTCTGTCACTTACAACCAAAAGAGACCTGGCCAATTCCAGGCAGAAGCACAGTGTCATGGGAAGGTAGGAAAGGGAGAGTGGTTGGGGTGATGACGTTTCGTCTGGGAATCCTTTCTTGTGGAGGTGAGATTGAGCAGAGTTTTGAAAAATGAAGATGGTTTTTTTTAATAGTCACAGGGGTTTTTTTTGTTTTTTGTTTTACAGTTGTACATTTGTGTTTATTTTAACTATTATAATGCTGGTTGACAAGTTGAAAAAAAAAGAAAGTTAAAAAAACCCACCCAAATCCCATCACCCAAAAATCCTCTTCAAATCCTTTTCTGCAGTTACATATACAATCATTGTTTTCATTATAAAGTCGAGATCATGTTATACATTTAGAAGTTTTGCTCCTTATTTAAACTGAGGTGTAATTTACATAAAGTGGAATATATAGCTGTTAAGTGTACCTTTTGATGAGTTTTTTTTATTGAAGTATAGTCAGTTTACAACATTGTATCAATTTCTGGTGTATAGCATAATAGTTCAGTCATACATATACATACGTATATTGATGCATAAAGAAGAAGTGATCTTTCCAGTGAGGCGAGCTGCTTGGGCAGTGGAAGAGTGCTGGAAGCAGCACAGTGAGAGTGGCTGGAGAGAGGAGGGAGCCGGAGAAGTGGTGGGGGAGGGGCTGGCAAGGAGGGATTGTGCAGAAATTTCATCTTTTCCTCTGCCCGTGTCCTCCTTCTCTGAAAGAACACCCTTCCTCAGTTAATTTAGCCACAATCATTTAGTAAGCACCTACTATATGCCAGGCACTCTCGGAGGGCTGGAGAGCTCACAGTGGACACCACAGGCCAAGTGCATGCCCTCTTGTAGCTTCCATGCGAATCAAAGGAGATGGGTACCAAACATGATAAATAATTAAGTCTCATAGTCTCAGGTAGTAAGAACTTGTGAAGGAAAACTAGACAAGTGTGGATAAAGATTGGCGGAGAGCTGTTTTGGATGATGCAACGTTCTGACAACCGATGGTGGTGATGGTCTGCAACATTGTGAATGACTTAATGCCCCTGAATTGTACACTTAAAATGGTTAAAATGGTGAGTTTTACGTTATGTTCATTTTACCATAATGAAAAATAGATGAGTGGAGGGGTGTTATTTTAGCGAGTGTTGTCAGGGCAGGCGTCCTTGAGGAGGTGACATTTAAGCAAAGATCTGAACGAAGGGAATTAGTGAGACTTGAAGATACACAGGGAAGAGCAGTCCAGGCAGAGGGAACTGCAAAGGCCAAGGCCGTGAGGCTGGGGTGTGCCTGGTGTGTTCTAAGAACTGTCAGGAGGCTGATGTGCCTGGGGCCCAGAGATCAAAGGGGCAGGAGGGAGGGAGATGAGGCCCGAGTGGGTGGGGTGGGGGTTGGGGAGCAGGAACTACTGTGCTGGAAGAGAACTTTGGATTTGGTTTTAAGAGTGATAGAAACTCTTGCAGGTTTGGGCAGGGGAGGGTCAGGAGTTGGCCCTTTCTACTCAACTTTTCCCTCTCTCCAACACTCCATCAGTCTCTTAATTGGGCGGTTATCTCTTTGCTTCCTGACTCTGCTTTCTGGGCTGCTGCCCTCTTCTGCCTGCCTCCATGACCACCCCCTAGTTGAGGTTATCATTTTTACATGGATGACCCAAGTGGCCTCCAATTGGCCTTCATGCCTCCTGCTGACTGGGTCTCCACCGTGGTCACCAGGGGCTTTTTCTACCTGTGCCAATGACTAGTCCTTCCCTTGGTGAGAACCAAGGCTCCCCACTTCCCAGTCCCACCCTTTCCAGCTCTCCAGTCTCTTCTCTCCTAACCCCTCAACACTTCAGCCACTCTGAGCCTCCCATGAGGTCCCCCTGCTGCCTCAGGCCCTCTCTCTCCTCAAGGCTGTTATATGTACTCTCTTCTACACAGGGTCCTTTTTACTTAGAGAATCTCCCCTATCATCCTTCAAGAGTCACCCCAGCACCACTCTTGGCAAAGACTTCCCAGATAACCCTCCTCTCCCTGCCCCAGGCTGCCTTAGCTGCCTCCTTTCCTGTGTTCCCTTCCCTGCCTCTTCCACCTCAGAGCCCACAGCACAGTCATGCATGGCTGCTTGATTTAGTTTGATTTTTTTTTTAAAAGCCTCTCCTCATCTCCATGAAACCCCCAGTTCCCTGCCCATAGTACGTTCTCAATACTATTTGTTGAATAAATGCATGAATTTGGAGTATATCTTGCAAAAATAGCAATAGCTAACCTGGGTGAAGGATTTGCTATGTACCATGCTAAACACTTCAGAGTCTGGATCTGATCTATTTTTCACAATCCTAGGAGGAAGCCACTGTAATTAGCTCCATTTTAGAGATGAGAAAACCAAGGCTTGGTGAGATTCATCAATTTCCCCACAGCCCTGGAACTCAAAAGCAGCAGAGCTGGCAGGGCAGAGTGCCCAGTTCAAAGCCACAGGCACATCATACAGACAGGGGAGGTGTCTTAGTGTTATTGTGTGCATTGGTAGGGTTTCCAGGAGTCTCTGACCTTCATATGAAGCTCAGTTGTCCATGAGCTGTTTTTCAAGAGCAGCTTCATTGCTTTCATCAGTGTCAGATGGGTTCTTGATAGTCCCTACATTTAAGATGCCCTTCTGCATAGAAGAGAAGGGTGGAAAGCTTTTGAGTATTGGACAGATGAGGTCCAAGCTATACTTTGGAAAGATCTTTTTGGCAATTCACAGCAGTATTATTCATAAAGGAAAAAAATTAGAAATAGCCTTAATGTCCACCAAGAGTGGACACATTAATTATATTGTGGTACATCCTTCTGTTGAAGGGAATACCATGCAGCTGTAAAGATGAATGAGGAATCTCTTTAGGCACCAATATGGAATGATTCCAAGATATATTTTTTTAAGTCAATGATGTGAAGTTCTGACCAGGGTGTATAAGAAGCTTCCACTTTTTGGGGGAGGGTGGGAGTATGGCTCAATGGTAGAGCACATACTTAGCATGCACGAAGTCCTGGGTTCAATCTCCAGTACATCCATTAAAAAAAAAAAGCTTTCATTTTTTTTTAAAAGGGAGGGGTTAAGATTATACATCTAGATTTGCTTCTATATGCATAGAATATCTTTGACAATATTCACAAGAAAATGGCCAATGGAAACTTTACCTCAGACAGTTTTTATGAAGATGAAACATGTTAATATTAGGTAATAGCTTAGAATAGTGCCTGGAACATAGTAAGCACTAGAGGAGATTTTGTTGAATAAAATAAAAGAGGGGTTGCCTCAGGAGACAGGAAGGAAGTGATGGGGGATTGGTGAAAGGCTTATTCTCACCTGATATTTTTTCTTGGATATTTTAATTTTTTTAGTCTTTTTTGTTTTTGGGGGGGGGTGATAATTAGGTCTATTTATTTTATTATTAGTTTTTTTTCTTTTAATGGAGGTACTGGGGATTGAACCCATAACCTTGTACATGCTAAGCATATGCTCTACCACTGAGCTATGTACTTTCCCCTTGTTATTAAAATTTTTAAATTTATTATTATATTATTTTATTTTGGTGGGGTGGGGAGATAATTAGGTTTATTTATTTTTTAGAGGAGGTACTGGGGATTGAACCCAGGACCTTGTGCATGCTAAACACATGCTTTACCACTGAGCTATATACTCCCCCTTTGATATTTTTAAAGTTAAAATTAAATCTATCTAGATAGATAAAACATAATCTGAGTGGATCAGAGACTGGAAGGAGGTCCCACCCTGAATCCCCGGGAATTAGCTGGAATTGGTCAAAGGCTACATTGTGTGGTGTGAAAATCAGGACGTGTGGAAAAAGGGGAGGGGGACACCAAAACACCCACGCCCCAGGGCCCACTATAAAAAGCACATTTGAAAACACCAGACTGGAAACGTTTTTTTTTTTATTATTATTATTTTTTTAAATAGCAAAAGCTCGTCCCCCCAGGAGGCGTGTTGCAGCTGCGGCCGTGACAGTTCCCAGGTGATGTCAGTCCTGGCCCAGTGCCAGCCCCGGCCCCTTGGAGACGGTCTTAGTGGGTTCAGCTTGACTGTTTTTCCTTCCTGAGACTTGAGGACACCTTCCTGTCTCAAAGAAAGCAGCCTTTCCAGGGCTTTCTGAGAGCCAGGGGCGGGGGAGGTGGTGGGCCTGGGCTGAGGAGACAGGAGGCAGGGGAAGGTGGGTGAGGGGTGGGCAGGAGGGGGCGGCTGTGTCAGGGAGAAGAGGGTCAGGGAGCTGCAGACAGGCTCAGCTCCGGGGTGACTTCTTAACCATGCCACAGGGGACAGGAGGAGGGGTGCTCCTTGGGAATCCGAGGCCCACTTCCTTGACCCCTTCCTCGCCCTGCCCCGGCTGCTGCCTGGGGGGACACACTGGGGTGGGGTAGGGTTGGGGGCAAAAGATGTTCCCACGGAGTTCCCAGCTGGTCAGCGCCTTTTCTCTTCCCTAAGTTCTGGACCCATCCCTCTCTCCTCTATGGCTAAAGGCCAGCTGTCAGTATCTTCTGAGCTTCCAGACGTGGGTTTCTACAGACGGGCTGAACTGCAGAGCTGGGTTTGAGGTCTAACTGCACTCCTGGCTGTGTGATCTCAGGCCAGTCACTGCTCTTTCTTGAGCTCCATCTGTGAAATGGGTAAAATCCACCTTGTAGGGTGATTATGAGACAGCACGGTGTGATGCAGGTTCACATTCCTGCAGTGCAGGCTTGTCTCTGGGCAGGTTGTGGGGATGACCCCAGCCTCTCAGTCCTTCAGCAGGTGTCTGCTAAGCACCCACTATGTGCTGGCACTGTGGGAGGCCCTGGGATGCTGCCGTGTGGTGGCAGCCGGAGGTGTTGTGAGTAGGGGCTGTGGCCTGGCTCTGTGACCTGGGGGGAGTTGCCTCCTGCCTCAGAACCTTGGCGTTGAGCACGTGGGCAGCAGAGGAGGGAGGTTAAGGGGGTGGGCTCTGGACCCTGTGCGCCTGGGTCCAAATCCTGGCCTGTCATTCAGTGACTGCATGACCTTGGGGAGCTGTGAGGATGCTAAGAGCGCCTGCCTCAAGGAGCTGGGGAGGTGTAAGTGAGCTATAGGGCTCACCCCGTGCCTTGCCCAGAGGCGGTGCTCCGTGAGCCTTCGCCATCACTTTCTCTTCTGCCTGCAGAGGTTCACCTGACTTTGACTACTTCGCAGCACGGATCTGGGGTCTCAGAAGAGATGTATCAGGGATTATCAGGTTAGGTTCAGGGGAGATCCAGGGATCTGCAGGTGCCCCATTATTTATCTCATGCAGGGGTGGCCCAGACAACTTTGCAGAACCTTTCACACTTGGCAAAGCCTTTTCTTGCCTCAGAATCATCATCCTTACGTTTGTTCTAGTCTCTCCCACTCACACATCCCCTCCTCACAATTTATAATTTGCTCAGAGCCTGCTGATCTGATAGATAGCAGCCTCTGTGAGAGCAGGCACCACATCTGTCTTATTCTCTGTCCATCCCTAGAACCTTGCATGGTCCACGGAGCAGTTCAATACACGTTTGTTGACTGACTGACTGACTGACTGACTGAGCCACCTGCCTTAAGTTGGTCTATGATATTAAACTCTATCCTATGCCTCCTGATGAGTTTTACCTCCTTGCTGTGGCGCAGGCCACGGGACCTGGAGCCAGACCTGCCTGGGTTGGAATCAAGGCTATGCTGTTGCCGAGCTGAGTGACCTTAGGCTTGGTTTTCTAGTTTGTGAAATGGTGATGACAACAGTACCTACCTACGCAGGTTGTTGCAAGATTGTGAGGCCATTTTTTTTCTTACTGTGATTTTATTTATTTATTTTTTAAATTGACGTATAGTCAGTTTACAATGTTATGTCAAGTGAGGCCTTTCTTGTAAGTGACCTAGAACGGTGCCTCCAACTCTCATGCTTGTTGCTGCTCTGGGCAGGGTCACTAAGCAATGAAAACAAGGACTAGGACACATGAAAACTGATTCTGGCTCATCTCTGACTTGCTATGTGATGTTGAGGATGTGTCTTGCCTGCTCTGGGCCTCAGTGTCCCCACTGTTGATCTGAGGGGTTCTGAAGAGATGAACTCCAGGATTGTCCATTTAAAACCCTCCAACAGCCTGTATTTGGGCCCCTCCAATTCTGGGAATTCTGGCAATGCTGGGGAAGCCTGTGGGAGATGCAGCTTCCTGGACCCAAACCCATACTAATTCCCTCGGTGCAGGCTGGGCTCTGGGCAGGGGTGAAGACTCAGGCTCGGGGAATGACCTTTTCTGTCTTATGATGGAAGCCAAGGTTCAGTTGGGTCCTTACAGGACTGGGCACATACCTCGTGAGGCCGTGCGGGCCAGTAGTTGAGAGTCCAGTGGGTCTTGTAGCCAGAACACTTAGTTCAATCCACTCACTTACCAGGGGCCATATGAATGCGGGCAAGTTCTCTAACCTCCCTGTGCCTCAGTGTCCTTATCTATAAAATGGAGCAGGCTATATTAAGTAACTTAAGTAAAGTGCATAGGCCAAGGCCTGACCATAGAGGGCCCTCAAAAAAGTCAGGCACTTTTCCAAGCTTAGAGAATCTGGGCATCCAGAAAACACCAACTCCTAAATCTTACCAGCCCTCCCTCCCACACGGCCAGATTGCCTTCTGGTCTACTAGGTGCAGGTTGTGCTGAGATGAGGAAAACTGAGGCCCAGAGAAAGGCAGACACCCACCCCAGGTCACACAGGAGCAGTGGCCAAGCTAGACCAGGCCAGGTCTTCTGCCTTCCAGCCAGTTCACCCTCAGTTTCCAGGTCCTGCTGGCCTACCCTCTGACCCTGGCCCCCTGGGAGCTGATCCCAGGCCGGTGGGGTCTACAAGTCTGGTCTGGATTAGACACGCTGAGAAGCAAATGCTGCCCCCCCAACCCCAAGCAGGTCGCCTGGCGGGACCCGTGCTCACAGCTGCTGAGGCTCACAGGGACATAAATCATGGTGGCAGGAGGCTCCGGGGCTGGGACCCCTTTAACCTCCTAAAGGGCGCAGGGGCCTGAGAGTCATGGGCAGGGATGCCTGGGTCCACCAGGAATGTTTTCCATCCCCAGTGAGGGCAGCTGAAGTAGGGCAGGTCACAGGGGGCCAGTAGACCATTTGGCAGGCCTCACATCCTAGCGGGCCAAGAGCTCAACTTTGTTTTAACTTTCACTCTGCAATCATTTACAAACATACAGAGAAGTGATGCAAGTAGTGCAGAGAGCTCCCATATACCCTTGACTTGGATTCACAAGTTTTAACAATTTGCCACATTTGCTTTCTCCTTCTCTCGCACACACAAATTATTTTTTTTCTGAACCATTTGAAGGGATGTCCCCTCCATCACATTCCTCTGCCCCTTAATACTTCAGGGGGTATTTCTGAAGCACAAGGATATCCTCTAACATAACCATACTGTTAGCAAATTCAGTAAGTGTAACGTTGATACTTCGTTGTTCTTATTCCAACTTTGTCAACTGCACAGTAATGTCCTCTGTACCATTACACCCCTGCAGGACAGGATCCAGCCCAGAGGCGTGCTACATTTTGCTGTCCAGGTCGACTTTTGATATCACGTCCACAGGAGGTAAAACACACAGTAGCAGGAAATTCAGATGGGGTTGAACAAAGGTGTTCAACTTTATAGGTATGGACTGATGTTTTTGTAAATCTTCTAATGTTCTCATGATACTGCATCATACTAGTGATTGTATATGGACGCTTAAGAGTTAACTTGCTAAATGTGTCAGTTTTTGGAATTCTAGTCTGATGTTTTATTTTTTTTAATCTAATAGGAGCTTCATAAAATGGAAGAGGCCTGGGCCACTGAGGGGAACTTCATGTGGTAGAGGAGCCTGGGGCTGGAGGCAGGGGCCCTGCATTCTCAGCCCTGCTCAGCTCCAAATGCTGTGCAATTCTGGCCCATTGCTGTCCCTATCTGGGCTTTGGTTTCCCCATTGCCATGGACGACCTCTGAGGCCTTCCCACTTGCAATTGTGGAACTAGGGAAGAGAGCCCTGAGTGGCGATCAGGGAGACCTGGGCTCCCAGTGGCCCAGGAGAGCCTTGCTGGGGAACCTTGGGCAGTTTGCTTCATCTGTATTGGCTCAGCTTCTCACTGTGAAATGACTGAGTCTGAGATCCTTCTTGTGCTGATGCTCCTTGTGTCTAAGAGTTTGGGTGGAAGGTGTGACCTGATATTTAAGCCTCCCCCCTTCAGGGTCCCAGGTGGCCTGGCTGAAGCTGCTCATTCTACCCTCCTCAGCCCTGGGTTTCTTCTGCCTGAGCAACTTTACTCCTCTGGCCCCAAGTCGGCCCCTGCTCAGGCAGCCTGCAGAAGCCTGGCTGGGCTGGCCCATCCTGAAGGTGGAAGGTGTGTGTGTTGGGGGCAGGGATGTTAGGCAAATGGCCCCAGAGGTCCTGGTGCACAGCTGTGCCAGGTCATGTGTATTGGGCTGGCCTTGTAGCTCACAAGGGGTCTGAGACATTAACTATCCCCCACTCAGGAACCAGGCTCAGGGAAGACAGCAAGCAGCAAAATGTGCAGAATGGAGCACCATGCAGCTATGAAAAAGCACGAAGCAGCTCTTTGAACACTGAAGGGTCTCCAAGATGCACTGTTAAGGAAAAAAAAAGTCCAAGTATATAACAGTGGGTAAAATGCTACCTCTTATGTAGAAAAACAAGACCTATGTGAATTGGTATGCTGTAAAAGATCAAGTGCATGTGTATGTTTTCTACAAATCTCTGCAGGATGACAGTGTTAACTGTGGTTGTCTTTGGGATGGGTGATATTTCTAGGGTCTTGTAGTGTTTCAATTTTTTTTTACAATGGAAACATAAGCAGAGAAACCTAGAAATACTTTTTTAGAACCAGTAATCAGTATAGAGCATTTCTGGAAGGACACATGGGAAACTGCTAACAGCAGTCGGCTTTGGGGTGGAGTCTGAGGGAGGTACGTACTTTTCCCTGCATACTATTGGATACAACTTCTATTATCTACCCAGAGCAAATGATCTATGAACAACTACATACCAATGCAAAACAAATTAATTATTATTCTGCTCCAGCTGTTCCTGCTGGTTAGGGATTGGGTCAGGGAAGCCCAGAGGGGTCACACAACTTCTTGGGGGTCACCCAGCAAATCTGGTGGCAGAAGTGGGCCTCCAGCCCAGAGCACCCAAGTGTCTGCTCTGTCCCCACTCCCAGGTTTCCTGCCATTGACAATGTCACAGTCCTTTTCCTGTGGCTTTGCCAGGGGCTGCCTGGACCTGGCCCTGGGTAGTTGCAGGGAGTGCAATGTGCTTTCCTAATTAGCTTCTGAAAGGCAACTGTCTGTTGATCTGCAAAATGGGCAGCCCCACATAGCTGAGTCTGAGTATCAAACGCAGGGGGTGACAGAGCAGAGCGGATAGAAGCGCGGACTCTGGAGCCAGGTTTCAGTTGGCAAACGCTAAATAAAAGTGTTAAAAAAAATAAATTAAAAAACAGGCACATGAATGTCCCTGGAGGAAAGGGTGGCTGCCTGGCTCTGCTGCCTCTCCTGGCTCCTCTCCCTGCCTCCAGCCTCCTGAGCGTCTCTGATCCTGGCCCCACAGAGAGAGCCAAGAACTCCTGGCTCCACTGACCAGCTGTCCCTGTTACACTCTAGGTTGGATCTGTGAGATGGGGAGACACCTTCCCCCAACTCCCAGGGCCACTGGGAGAATGACTGGGGTCACAAAACTGGCACCCCATCTGGGGCATCTCCAGGGCAGAGGAAGGAGCTCACTTTGGGCTTTAAATTTGGACAGACTTCATGTTGTCACCCTGCCACGTGCCAGCCAGGAGGCTTTGGGTATCATTGTTTCTTCAAATCATCTCAGCTACAACAGGGGTAAGAGCATCCCATTAGCACACACTCATTTGCACATGTGGAAAACCACGTGCCTGCCCAGCCCTGTTTGTAAAGACATGGATAATGGGTGGGTTAAAGTACAGTACATTCCCAAATGGAATAAACAGCTACTAAAGGAATGAAGGTACCCTTTCCCGTTATGTACTGACTTGGATGACAGCCAAGCTAGATTAAGGAAAAAAAAATACAAGCAGCAGAAAACGGGTATGATGTACTACTGTTTGTGTAAAGAGTGTAAGAAAACAGATACATATATTTCTGTATTTGCTTGATTATTCACAGGGAACGGGGATGTCAAAACAAAACAAAAAAAACTAATGCTAAGCCTGCCTGTAGTGGGAGAACTGTGCCAAGAGAACAGGGGGGAGGGTGACTTTTTACCACATATCCGCTTGTACCTTTTGAATTCTGGACCATGTGGATGAATATATTCCTTATTCAAAAATAAATAAAATTAAGATTTTGTTTTTAAAATCAACTACACCAGACACCCAACAGTTGTTCAAGAAGATGGTGAGGAAAGTTTGGTTATCCTGACTTCTGGAGACGGTGTCCCCTACCTCCCTGCCGCCTCAATCCCTCCAGAACACAGGGCAGCACCTGTGACATCCGTCTCTTCCAAGGTCCAGGAGAGGGGCGATCTCTGACCTCTGATGTTCCCAGGCCCCTCCCATCTTCAGTTGGGAACATCTTTTACTTAAAAATACCTTTTATTTTAAACCCATCAATTCTCTCTCACACACACACCCCGACACTCATGCACAGACAAGCACACATCCTCTGTCATCAACTGTCTTTGTTTTTCCAAAAGTTCTGCCTTGTCTCTGACCAGCCAGGGCTGGGGCTGGCTGGACGTGTCCTCACAGCTCTCCAGGGTGGGGTGGAGATGTCCCAGGGGGCCTGCTCAGAGGGTCATGGGCCCAGGCCATTGTCCTCTGATCCCTGCACAAAGAAGGGACCTGGGTTCGGCTCCTGGGGTCTTCTCGCCTGTTCACCCGGTGGCTGGCCTCTGGCCTCCTTCTCAGGGTCCTGCTTGGAGCAAATGACACAGGGTTCCAGGCTCATCTCCGTGGCACTCGAAGTGGGGCCACCCCCCTTACCTTCAAGCAGCTGCTCCCTAGGTCACGACGGCTACCCTGCAGGAAGGGAGAGAGAGGTATTAGGGGGTTCGATCAGGTCACTATGAACACCGGAACTACTAACCTCTGTGTCCAGCAATAGGGAACTTGATAAACAAGTCACATTTAGTCACACAGTCAAGTTCTTGCAACAGAAGGCAGAAGAAACTTTATGGACTGATAGGGGATGATGTTGAGATAACATCATTTAAGGACAAAAGCAAGGACTGAGTGCACCTTCCTGTGTGCTGAGAAGTCCAGAGAGAAGGGCACATGGGAAACTGCTAATGGGTTTCCTTGTGGGAGAGGAATGTGATGAGGAGACAGGATATGAGGGGGGCTTTTTTTAACTCTGTTTACTTTTTTACCTTTTTCATTTCTTCCCCATGTAATTGGCTGCTTTAAAAAAAATCCAATACAGTTTAAATCATACTATTTTAGGGGGGTGGGTATAGCTCAGTGGTAGAGTGCATACATTCTGGAATTCTGGCCTCCCTGCCTTCATTCAGGGTGTCCACTCAGCTAGAAATCTAATCTGCTCTCTGGCCCTGTCCTGGGATGACTTCTGTATTCCTACAATTGCCTAGCATTTCTTGCCTTTCTGGGGACATTCCACCAGGATAAAACCCAGATGGGGTCTCTCTTGTGTTCCTGCATCAGGCTGGGACCTCAGGGAGTGGTTGTGAAAGTATCTCACTCTGTGGCCCCAGTTCCAGTCCTGGGCCTGGCATGGGGCAGGTGCCAACCAATGCTGCTTGGATCCGGGGTGTCCACTGGAAGACAAGCTAATGGTCGAAGCCACTGAAGCCACCTGTCCCTCATGCTGCAGGGACCATCTCTACTCACTGTTCTGAGGTCTGACACATGGGTTTCATCCTCACTGAAGCCAGCAAGGTCACAGACATTAGAGTACCCGCTCTTTTTGAGGTCTTCCAGCACTGCGCGGCTGGCTCAGAGGTACCCACAGAGTGGGGAAAAGGCTGGGCTAGACATCCAAGGTGTCCAACAGTCTGTCCTGTTTCCCCAGGACACAATGGTGTCTGAAATCTCACTGTAAATGCTCACCGCCTGAGCCTGGCTAGGAGATGATGGAACAGGCATCTTTCTCAGCCATCTAGAGAAATAGCTGACCATCTGGGAGCTCTGGTCCCTGCCCCCCTCCACTCCTGGGTCCAGGTTGGGGCAGATCCATCCAGATGCGAGCCCAGCCTCCCTTGAGGCTCTCTGGGCCCAGGGACAGTGTGTTCATTCACAGGCAGGGCTATTTTGAGGGCTGAGGCCACAGTCCCAGCAGAGCCTGGAGCCTGGGCTTCTCAGACAAACTCTGGCAACAGTGGCTGAGAAGGGCGGATGGGGGTGGGGGGGTGCAGCATCGAGGTTAGAGGATAGAAAACTGGCCTCCCACCTTCTCATTCAAAGTCTTCAGGGTCAGGGGTCAGGGAGAGCCACCTCCACCTCAAGTCTGGCAGTCATCACAAGACCTGGATCCCCTGAGAACACTGGGACTGTTCACCTCCCTGGACCTCACTTTCTTCATCTGTGAAATGGGGACGAAATGATTCTACTCGCTACCCCAGGGTGCAGTCGAATGAAATGCAGCTGTGAAAGAGGCCTGTAAACTGCCAAAAGTGCTTAGAAGAGGCCCAGATTAGGCCTTGGCTTCTTTGTCCCTTCGAAACTCCGCACCAAGGGCTCTGGGAAGCACTGTGGTTAGGTGGCTAGAGTGAAAGAGATCTGGGCTTCAGTCCCTGTTCTGCCTTGGACTACCTGTTGGACCTCGGGCGAGGGCAAGTGACTTCAGCTCGCTGAGCCTCGGTTTCCTTGTGTGTAAACTGGAGTTACTGTCAGGATTACACATGTTAACACAGGTAAAGCCCTTAGCACAGTGTCAGGAACACAGTAAGCATTCAATAAATGTTCACAAGTATTAGCATCAGCATCGTCCGCTGATGGCGCCTCCTTACCCTACTGTACTCTGTGCCACTTCTGCCCCACAGCTGGGTATACCAAGTGGGGAGGGCCTTACAAGATGAGCCTATTCAACTCCCACCCCCACTCAAAAGCGACAAAAGGGAAAACAGGGCAGAGACAAGAACCCCATTCCCAACCCCCGTGCTATGTCTACCACAGAGGGCCACACCTAACCCTTCCTTGAATAGGAAGATGCCACAGGCAGCTGTTTCCATGGTGACCCTAACCCCCAGACCAGCTGGCTGGCAAGGAGGTGGTGGCTTAGAGTGAAAGGGTAGGGTCTGGGGCCTTGGCGCTCTCCGACCCCCAAAGCTCAGAAGAAAGCCCCCCACAGGCTCCCCAAGACCGCCAGTCTTCTTCCAGTCGAGCCTTTGAGGGGCCAGAGCCGGCCAGGATCGCCCCTTTTGCCTAGTCCCACAGGAGCCTGTGGGGGGAAAGCGTGGCTTCTGTGGCCAAATTTGGCTGAGTTCTAGGTCTCACAGTCAGATTCCAGGGAAGCAGCCAAACCCAGGCGAGGCCCTAAGATCTCAAGACCAGCTAAGTCCCACAGCCTATCTGCTGTGGGGGCGGGCACGTGATCGACACATCCCTTCCCCCAGGCCTGCCCTTACAGAGCCCTCCCTCACTAACTTTTCTCACTTCCCAATCAGGCAGGCCTGAGTTTGAATCCTGCCTCCATCATGGACAGTGTCTCTGAACCAGTGACAGCATCTCTGAGCAGGTGGGGGATAACCAGAGCACCTCCTTCCCCAGTTAGGTGGGCTTTAATGGTAACATGTGGAGAGCACTTAGCACAGTGCAGACGCTGCTGTGACTGGCCAGTCTTCGCCTCCCCTCTGTGTGCTGCCACCTTCAGCGTCTTCCCTTTTCCTTTTCTAGGTCATGTTTTCTGACCCCAGGGCTCTCTGTGCCCTACCCCCTCATCTGTCTGCTTGCATCCCCGAGCATCTGTCAGAATTTAGCCCCTGAGTCAGGGGCTTCTTCTGACCCTGACAGTCCCTTTGTGCCCCCTCCCTTTCCATCAGACGGCACTATCCCGGTCTTTACCTCCTGGTCCAGACCCTGGCCCTGCACTGGGAGTTCCTGACTGTGGTGGATGGGCAACCATGACCTGCTTCTCTGGGGACATTCTCAGAGTCTACAAAAAGGTAGTTGGGTAGTTGAGGTGTGCTGAGCTGAATGAATGGGTGAAAGGCAGTCAAGGACTGTTACTGAGGCCCAGTCAGCCCTCATACCCCAGGCTGGGTGCCTGAAGGCCCACCCTGGTTTCCCAGCCCAACCTGGAGCACAGACCAGGGCCCACACCTGGGAGCATCAGGGACCCTCAAGAGAGTTCAAATCTGAATTAAAAAGACAGACTCAGAGAAACTGAGGTGGCCATGGGGGTGAGAGATCACAACAGGAGTCTGATGAGCCAGAAGCGGGTGGTCTGAGGCCAGGACACAGAGACTTCCCCATAACAGAGTGAACTGGGGGAGCTAAGGCAGCTGTGAGAATCAAAGACCTGGGGCCCCAGAGGCCTGACTCCAATCCCCCATGCCCCTTCATTTTCAAGAAGGCCATGGGCCAGTCAGGGACTCTCAGCCTCAGTTTCACCAGCTGTAAATGGTAGCTGCTGTAATCCAAAGCTTTCATGCAGGCAAGCCTCCTTACTCTAAGAAAAGCTCAGGCCAAAAGAGGGAAAGGCTGGAGGTGAAGCAGGCTCCTTGGGGCCCAAGCAGGAGAAGACCAGTTTTCAGCCAGAGGCGCCTACCCCCACCAGCAACCCAGCCCCATCTATCCCCTACCAGCCTGGGTCTCCTCCTTACTCAGGACAGACCACAGGAGCTTACCTCCAGCTCTGCCCTCTGACTCAACAGTGCCCTTTCCAGACACTGCATCCCTTTTGGGACTGGGTGTTCTGGGCGTCCTCAGGGGACCCCCTCCCTCACTCCTACTGCTCGTCAGCTTGGTACCCCAGGCTCTTGGTTGGGGTGGGCATCCCCTTTTCTTCTCAGTCTCTTGCCTTTAGGTCAGTCTCAGGATGTGGGGCAATTATACTATGGCAAGGGCAGCTCAGGGCAACACATGCCCAACGAAGCCAGGGCCTGCATTCTCTGGCCTCCCAGCTGAGTAAGTGTGGGCACTCCTCTGGCCCCAGATCCTCACCAGTGAGCAAATAGGCAGAATTACCTGCCTGACAGGTAATTGTAAAGGTGCAAAGAAAGAGGGCGAGGAACGCGCCGGCACATAGGAAGAGCTCTATAAAAACCTTTGTTATGATTTCCTCACGCGCTGTTCCTCGCACACCTTTAGTCCCCAGAGCAATCTCCATCCTTTAAATCACGCCTGAGCTCTGGGCTTCCCTACATCCCTTGTCTGGGGGGCGTTAAGTAGCGGTTCTGTTCCGCACCGAACCCTGGGCTTGGAAGGCCACTCCTCCAACGACTCCACGTCGCTCCCTCCTCTCTTCACTGGGGTCTCGGACCCTCTTTTGCTCCCTAAGAGGCTCCGTCCCTTGACCTAGAGGACTCGGTACTGGAGGGCTGCGCACTCACCCCCTTGCGCTGATTGCTGAGGCAGAAGGTGCAGATAGAGCGCGGCTGACGACCGCCGTCGGGGGTGGCGGGGACCGCGCTCTTGGCACTGCCAGCTGCACGGAAGCACGGCTGCCCGTCGTCGGCCGCGTCGCCCAGAAGTAGCACGTTGGCCAGGTGCGCGATGTAGCTGGACGCCAGGCGCAGCGTCTCGATCTTGGACAGCTTGCGGTCCACCGGCTCGGTGGGGATGAGCGTGCGCAGCGCCGTGAAGGCCGTGTTCACGCTCTGCGTGCGGTCCCGC